CTACTGCTACTGCTACCGCTACTGCCCCTGTCACTACTGCCCCGCACCATCACGACCACCACCACCACCACCGCCACCACCACCACCACCACCACCACAAATGTGACCTCTACCGCCACTACTACGACGATTCCGGCGATGAGGATTATTCTCTGCCGCAGCGACTGCCAGCTGGTGGTAAGGTAGATGCCCGAGCCCCGGACCGAAGTAGTTCTCCGGATGATAGAACTGAAGGGCGGGAAAGCCTTGGCGAGAGGGGGTCGCTTCGAATCGGGAAATGGAACCTCGGGTGTCTGGTTCTGGGTCTCGAGGCAGTGACATAATGACTGCAAACTCTGCCAGCTTAATTGCTGGCACAGAAGTCTTCTTCTGTGTGGCTTGAAAAGAAGCTTGAATACTCAATGCTCCGTCTTGCCGACAAACGTCCCAATTCGGTGCACTGTCACATGCTGGACTTTTCTTGTCCGCTCAACGATCTTTACAGCTGTGGAGGTGTCAGTCTTGATGCTGTTGCTTTAAAGTGCCATAAAGCCCCTCGAGAGCTTATGAAATTGCATAAGAAGCCCCCAAAATCCTGGCCACGCTGCGAGTATCTGCTGTTATGCCATCCTGTCCTCCCCGGTCAAGTTGGACCCAGGACATCGACCTAGCAAAGTGATGCATATTTGCACTTCCGGAATTGGGATAGCGTGTTGTTTGTATTCGGATCTTGGCGGTGCAGTTCGTGGGTTGCATGACACCCATGTGGATATTCTCGCTGGATTGCGGCAGTTGCCCCAAAACCGAAAGGCCAATGGCTGCTGAGCCCACCAGAAGAACGAAAGTCACATTCTTGCTTCCCCATGAATTACATTTTCAGGCATTCGACAACTCACTGTCTAGCTGTGCTTTGTCACAACTCTCTGCAAAACCTGAGGCTTGGAGTCTTCGGGCAGCCCAGGTGCACGAAGGAGGAGCCTGCGGCCAGCATGTGGAAGCCGAACCACTCTCCTGGCGCAGCATCTAGCAGACAGACTCATCAAAGCCACCACGGTCATGACGACAAAGTGACGAAGATCATGGTGACCGGGACGATGGCGAGAATAATGATGACGATGGCAGCGAGAATGAAGCGACGACGGCGATGAGGACGAGGGTGATGATGATGATGCTGATGATGATGGTCTTCGATTGCCCCTGATGATGATCGATGCAGTGGTGCGCTGGCGGTGCCGAGTGGTGTCGGTGGCTGCGATGGCAGTGGCGACGGTGTTGGCAGTTGCGTTGTGGTTTGGGATGCCGCGGTGCTGGTGTGCTGCTGACCTGCGATACTGCTGTCACTACTACTTAACTTTAGCTTTGTGGCTCGTGGCGACTTGCGGTTCTATGTGTTGTTTTGGGTCACGGGTTCTGGAGAGGGCTCATGCGTCTTGAGCGAAGGTCAGTCTGTCGGAACTGGCTGTAGCCCCTCGTCGCCTCCATGCCCTGGATTAGGCACACCGAGTTCCGGATCCGGGAACTTCTCCTGGGCGGCTCGAGCCGGCGAAGCGGCGCTGTTTGGATGTTAGACTTCAGAAGCCATGGGACGAGTGTGTTCTTCTTGCCTTCCTGTCTGAAAAGACTACTATAAGGATCCAGGTGGACTCAGAAGCTTCACCAAGCAGCTGCGCCGATGAGAGCTTCCTCCGTGGTCACGAGGATTGTGCGGCTCACCTTGTGAGCAAGCGCGGATCAAGATGGGATTCTTCGGAAAGGTTCTTATCACGGGGATACCCCGTTGTTGTTTCAGTCAGTGTGTTCTATGCAGCATATGCTCTATTGACAGCAGCGTCACCAGGGCAACGATCGTCCTGACGGTGAGGCTTCCACTGCTGTCTCGAAACGCCTGGCACACCACAAAAAAAAAGGTCGTCTTTATGACGAGAAGTTGCAGGATCTGTGGCAGACTCGCGTCTCAGGGCTTCAGGAACACCCACTAGTCCAAGGCGTCCAGTTCTGTAGCTTCTCTGATGAGGGTGACTCTGCATCCGATCCCCTGTAGCCGCAAGGTTCGCAGTGGAGGCTCGAACCCAAATAAAGCGGAAGTATTGGTTAAGAAACCAGTTGCTTCAGAATTTGGGGCTGCATTTTCCTGCGTGTTGCGATATTTCACCTGTGGGTGGTGTGCCTCTTGCTCAACCTCAAATTCTCAACCCTTCGATGCGAGGACTGCATACAAATTCGAATCAGCACACCTGCAACTAAGGAAATGGATCTTCACACTCTTAGCCTTTAGGGCTGCCCGGAAGGACCACCTGTAGAAACTTCCGGCTCTTAAGAACTTGGAGTAGTGGTATTTAGCTTCCTGAATGTCTGTGATACCTGGTTCAACTCCTGGCTGAGAATCTGCAAAAAAAATTAAGCCTCCCTGAAGCCTGGATGCTACAGTAAGAATCTGAGGGTCTCTGACCTGGTCTGGAGAAGATTCTTCAGGGCTTAGACCCTACGACCGAAAGCATGCCATTCGTTGTGGGTTTAGTTCGACTCAACGAAAGAGCTCTCAATGATGTCAACCTGCAGACCTTGGCACGAGCCCTCTCACCCATTCGTCCCATGCATCATTACATTCAGAAGAGGTGCGGCAGAAGAATGCAAACCAACAAAACAACAAGTTGTAGCTTGTGTACCCACTCTCGACCCAGGATCAAGTGAAGTTGTTATGCTTCTCCAACTCGCCTCGCCCGCGAAGTGATGTTTTTCCAGGGGGCGGTCTATGGTGATTTCCTCAGCAACAGTAGATCTGTTTGTCCAGAACATGCGCGCTGCGGCGGAATCTTGTCTGCCCTTGCGTCAGCATGCATGCATGTCCTGCATCCTTACTGACACCCCTGTTAATCCAGAGTTTCCGTAGAGGGCGCATAGAAGACGATGCTTGTGATGATGCGGCGCTCGGTGTAGGTATCCTTGCCCAGCAGACTCGGACGCTGGCATTACGACTTGGGGTCAGGGGCAGTGGGATGCGCATTTCGTTCGGAGAAGCGGCTTTAGATTCCACAGCTTCCCACCGCGAGCATTGCTTGAATTAACATGACAAGATTAGTGCGCACCGGATGCTGCCCATCGGCGCTTCCATCCAGGTTGGGGTACTCGCTTGTCGTCAAGAGGATCTCGCCACCTACTGGCCAATCGCCCACATCCTGCTGGACCTGGCCGGCGGTTCATGGTTGTCGTGCTGCAGGTTGCTGTTCCATCTGCTTGGCTCACCAGCGAACACGTACCCGAACAGCAGAGCGCCAATTCCACGTCGGACCCTGTAACCGCAGGTTCTTATCAATGACCCCAGCACTGCGTGCAAGGCTTGTGACATCGTTGCTGGGGATCCGGCTCGGATGAGCGTGTCTCCTCTGGCGCGAGATTTCAGACAACAGAATCGGGGAACCTCCCGAAAGCGCGGGGGATTCGGAGAGACCAGCTCGGGGCCCGAAACTCCCAAGCCGCAAACATCCCCCAAAGCCACTCTTATCGAGCAGGGATCTCCTGGCCCAGCCGCGGCGAAGAGGTCCCCCCAAACGCTAGCGTAGGGCCGGCCGTGGAGGCTCACGTTGCCCTGGTCCGTTGCTTGAGCTTCGGTCCAAAAGGGGGGTTTGGGGTTTTGTTTGCTATGAGGCTTCGCTCTCGCTCGCTCTCTCTCTCTCTCTCTCTCTCTCTCTCTCTCTCTCTCTGTGCGTGTGTGTGTGTGTGCTGAAATCATGATCACGCAGTGTTGAAATGTATGCAAAATTGCCAGTGACACTGTCTCGCATTGGACATCTAGCGGGCCCTAAGTGTTCCACGAGGTCGTTGGGAAAAAGACTAGAAGCCCCATGTAAACTCGCCTCAAACCCCAGAGCCAAACCGTCCAAACCACACCCTCAACCCCGCAACACACTACATCATTTGCAAGCGCGGGTGCCAGCTCTGGCCTCGTAAACTCCGAAGACCTTCTTGCCCCAATCCAGGTTTAGAGAAATGTAAGCCGGGTCGGAGTCGAAGGTCGCCTCAGGAGCTTCAATGCCCCAAGCGGGGCTTCTGACAGCGAGGTCTCGTTTTGAATTCTGGACGCGTGCCCCGGAGACCCGGCCGCGATCACTACAACTTCCTCAAATCCGTTGCACAGACGCATTTCTGCAGCGAAGGCTCCCCCCAAAAGGAAATGATCGCCGTGGTCTTGTGAGGCGCCCATGAGGTACCAACCTGAAACTGACCTGACGCGCAGTAAGCGACCAGAAACTCGGAATCGGAAAGTGCCAGGCCTCCAGCAAAGACCTGGATGGACTTGACCAGCAACTTCAGGCCCTCCTCTTCCTGATTTGCAATTGGGACTTCACATCTTCGTAGCGTTCCTTGGCCTGGTGAAAGGGAAGACTCAGCTTCTCTTGGTCGAGATTCAGCCAAGGACAGCTTCCCGTGGATCTTGAGGTCGCCAACCTTCAGGCCCCGGAGGCTCACGGGACGTGCGGGATTATGGTGCGCGTATGATGATGAATGATGATGAGCATGTGGGCAGGGCTCAAAAACTTAGCATACATGGCGATGCCTGCTGCAGGCTTTCAGCTCCCCTTTTCAACCGCTGAGTCCAGAATCTTCCGACTCCCGGATCACGGCCAAGGAACAGGTCCGATGGCCGTGAAGTTGTTGTAAACGATGTGGTAGTAGGGCGGAATGTTCTGATTGCACATGGAACGGCAGGCGGTCAGATGCTGAGGGTTGCATGGTAAACACATACCTACTGGTAGAAGGCCACTCTCGCTTTCCGTTTGGGCACCGAGAAAAGTCCGCTCCCACGCTGTGAGTGTAGCTGGAGGGGAGAGAGAGCGAGAGAGAAGTAAACCTTATGTAGATAACTAGTTTGATCGCTCGCAAGAGAGACAGATGAAGGTAGAGAGTGCGAAAGATGTTTCATCACAGAAGAAAGGAAGAAAGAAAGGAGGACAGCAAGACGCAAAGAGAGAAAGAAGCCACGATGAGCTTCGAAAGCACTGAGGCGGGCACCACAACCGTCTCCACTCCCTGTGGCAAGTTGCGGCCTGTGGGTTTAGGACTTAGGATCTTCAGAGACGGATCTGAAGCGACCTTAGAGCAGACTTTGAGTACATGATTATACTAAGGATCCCTCTATGGCGTTCCTTAGTCCAGGTTTTGGGACCCAACTCCTAATCCTTGAGCCCTGACCCGAAAGGGGTCCAAAGGACCTAGTAATTAGTCAGTAGGTACTTGGGTTACTTGGGTTTGGGGTAGTAGTCTGTTTTGTCGGTTAGTATTTGGGCGAGTTTATGACTAATTAATGTATCTGGGCCCTTATGGAGGTGGGCCGCCGCACGATTTCCGTGGAGAGCAGGCAAGGGACGCAGCCTGAGGGTTTCTGAAAGCGCAGAGCTAAGGTCTGGAGGTTCCAGCTGTCCAGCCTGGTGTGCTATTCTCGAGCCGGATACTGTCACAATCGCCAATTGCCATTTCGATGAAGTGGCTGTTCGGTGATCCCTGCCTGGCCATGATTCCGGCAATGTCCAATTTCCAGGTGGGCCCATGACCACGCGCGCCTGGCAGAGACCATCAGCTGGGCCCAGCAGATTTGAGTGTGCTAACACCACAGGCACAAGCAGAACCGCTGGTGGCGGTGGCAAACGGTGACGCCAAGAACACAGCAACAGGAATTTCCTGGTATTTGCAGACTTTGCAGACTGTTTCTAGGAGATTCTAGGCCCTGATATGGGGCACTTGGCCTCCTCGAAGAAAGCACAGCCACCCTCTCCGCAGCCGGTGTTCACCTGAGAAGCGCTCCGCGAAGCGTCGCGTCTTCCCCTTGTCTTTCCACGACTTGCGAAACGACAAAACACACTGAAAAAAACCCAGAATTCTGAAGAGAAGCCCCGAATCCTGTCGGGCGGCCAGGTCTGCCACCATCGGATCTTGGTAGTTCCCTTGCTCACGGTTACCCATCCTCGAAAGCTGAAGGGTGAGACTGAGATAAGCCAAACAAGCGCAAAGAACTTCCAGTCATAGATTTGCCGGGACTTGTGTGCATTGCAGCTCGAAACCCACTTTACGCCGGGCCACACCATGCTTAACGTCCCATTCGCGAACAGCGATGCATTTACCTGTGGCTCAAGGGGGCCAAGTGACCAACTGCGCAACATGCGCAAAGAGACACGTGGCCTGGATGATAAACAAGTAAATGAGAATCTGCTGCATGTACACATGTGCATGTATGCTGGTTGTATAAATATGCAGAAAATGGATGGAGACGCCCTTCTGTATCCTGCTTCTCTTTCATCGTTGCCAGTCTGCACTTTGTACTCATCTCAAAATAAGGAGCGGCTATAGATCCGATAGAGACTCCAAATAACAACGATATGTCCCATAAGCCATAAGAAGAGGTGATATGCTGTGCGCGCAGTGCGCGGCACTTCAGTATCTTGCCCATGCATGCAAGCGCTCTTAACCCGATCTTGCAGGCAACAGCACCAATGCTTAGCTGCAACAGCAGGGAAAACCCTGTACCGTGAAAGCCTGACCTCTCCCCAAAAAAACAACGATGCTTAGACTTAGACCATGCAAGCAGTGCGCCATTTCGGTCCGGTTGGTCCAGCCAATCACCGGCCCATTTGGCATGCAGGGGCCGAAGCTCAGGCCGGAAGCCCTGCGGGAAAGCCAAACCCAACTGAAAGGGAACAAAGTGCACGGAGCACCAGGAGGCAGGAGGATTCAGGATTCCATTGTGAACATTGCAGCAGCTTGCCATCCATATACAATTATGCTGACAGATTGGGAGATCATAAGCGTGTCTACAGCCGTCCAAGCATCACAGACCTCTCAGCCTCACTGTATTGGACATGTCATATCCAGACATGGATGCACTTTTCGACTATCCAGAACCCAAAGATCTTCCAGGAGGCTTTGAGCACTTCTTGAACCTAGAGCCTTCAGTACACCTCCGGCTGATGCAGAAGAGAGCTGACAGCCTGCCTCTCGCACATCTCGAAGAGAAATGACAGGGCTGCACAACCTTTGCGGCTCCAGACGCTGCCGATCCTCCAACCCCTTGTCCCACTAGGCCAAGCCGACAAGGGAAGCCAAGTGGCCAAAGCGAGGCTCAGGGAAGATGTTAAGGGCCCGCAGTGGCGCTGCCAGTGGGATTGTTGTTGAGGTGCTGGTGGTCGTTGTTGTCATGGTAATCGTTGTCTCGGTCGAAGTGCTTGTCCGTGTGCCTGCAACTTACGTGCATCACTGCATGCTGCACCGGCTACTGCCTCCTACCAACTCATGCAGCAGCGTAGCAGCAAGAGCAAGGTGGACCGGGCTGCAATGATCGCAGCGGGACACAGTCCAAGTTCTCATTTCCGACAATGCATGATTCGGAAGACTACGAGACTGCTGCTACCACTACGTGGCTCCATGTAGCGCTGCTTGATTCTCTACACTGTGCGCTCAGCACGGCCACATGTCTTCGAAAAACTCCAATCCAACCGGTAGATACTCAGATGGGCCCAGCAGTCACCCTCTGGCGCCTAAGTACGTTGTGGTTGTGGTGGTTGAAGTGCGGGAAGTTGTGCTGCGTGTGATGGTAGTTGTTGACAAGGAAGTTGTTGAAGTTGTAGAAGTTCGTGTTTCCGAGGTAGTTGAGCCTTGCAAAACGCAGCATGCGCTCATAGAACAGAAAGCTCGTGCTCATGCAGCATGGGACGAGTGACGACACTTGCAGCGCAACGTGCTGCGACCAAGAATCTGGAAGTCGCGGTCGCAGAAGTGCTAGTTGTGGTGGTTTGTGTGGACGTCTCGGTAGTTGCGTTCGTGTCGTTAGTTTCATTCGTGTCGTTGGTGTCGTTGAGGTCGTCTTCATCGGTTGCAGTGGTGGTGCCTGTGCTGGTACCTCAGTCAAAAAATGTACACAGGTCACAAATCATGGAATCTCTGAGCGGCCGAAACATTCGGACTGGAGAAATACAATCTCTCGTGTCGGCGGCAGCCCAGGAGCTTGAGGAGGAGGTTGTGGTGGAAGTGAAGGACATCGAGGTTGTGGTGGTGCTGGTACTCGAGGTGGTGGAGGATGTGACAGTAGATGTGAAGACAACCTCCGGAATCCACAGGCTGTACCCACCTCAGCCATGGCAAGCCCACAGTTGCGAAACAAAACGATGGAACTATGGGAAAAGCCACGCTGCCAAGCCGCCACGGTCGAGCCAGTCAAAATAAGGCTCGAAGCAAGACCCGGAGATGCCGGAGGACTCAAACCGCCGCACAGGAGAGTTGCTGTACCTTCGAGTTGACCCTAACACATGACCCCGTTCCCTCCGGTTTACGCTGTAACCGCTTGCACTTCCCCGTCACGACCGTCGTCAGGACTCTAAAGGAGGTGCACGGATTCTCCTTACCTTCTGACTTCCAGGCAAAGCACGGGAAGTGCATGCCAACCCACTCCGTGGCCAACATCAGCCCGGGCGAGCCAAAACTGACCCGCATCTTCTGAAAGTCGACGTTGCCTGCAACAAGGCTCCAACAGGACAGGCACTCCCTAACGAATTCCAGGTTAGGTAGACTTGGTTTAGGTAGAATTCTGCCAAACTGGCGACCGAACCGAGGGCGATGGATGGTTACCCTGCCAACTTGTTCAGCTTCATGCAGCCAAGTCACTGTCTGGGCGCAGCCTCACAGCTCTCGCTGACACAAGGCTTCAGTTGGCTTAAACAAGAGGTCGCCGACCACAGGCAGCAAGCAGGACAGAGGTGGGGTTCTTCATGGTCAGCGATGCACACAACACCGCAGCAGCGCTAATGATTCAATTTCGACCCGCATGGTCCAAGTTCGGGCAAGAATCCGACGCTGCTGCCAATGGCTTGGCAGGAGCAACGTTTGCATACGATTGCTGGAGTCATGAATGCTCACTGTCATCATCACCATCATCAGCATCTGCAGACGGAACAGCTGCTGCAGCACCATGATGATTATCGACACCGTCATCTTCAACTGCCTTGTCCTTCTTCGTCATGGCAGTGGTCATGGGCCTACCTTCAGATCAAAGTTACGGCGGCCACAACAATCCACTACCGGCGGCTGACGTCGCGACAGGCCGATCCTTCAGCCGAAAGCCAAAACCCCGAGCTTCAAACAAAGCCCAAAACATCCTAAAAAACGCTAAACTTCCACTAAACTCCAAAGAAGCCCCGGTGCAAGGACAAGGAGCGTGTACCAGAAGGGCAGCATTCGCCATTCGATGGGGGTCGGCCCGGTCTCGGCCCAGCGGCGGGCCGGCCAAACGAGTTGATCCTGGAACTTCGCCGAAATGACCTGGCTTTAAGGACTTCAGGGCTTCAAGGTTGAGGGCTCTGCACCTTCTGCCTTCAATGATCTGGAGTTGCGGTACTGGGCTCAGGTTTAAGATTTTGGAGGATTTGGGGCCCAGGGGTTTTTAGGCTCAGGATGTTGGCGCTCGGGGTGTCCAAACCTGGAAGTACAGGCGCCGGTGCTGCAGGTTTGTCTGCAGCTGACATTTCCCAAACTGGTCGAAACCACTGCTGCAGACTGGCTACAGACAAGCTCACCACAACGGCGACTCATGCTACCTGCCATGACAGCTTGCTGCAACACTTTACACAAGTGTGTAGACCCATCTTCGTGATTTTCTCCGCTTCTAGTCCTTAAGAAGGGTGGTGGTTCCAGAAAGTGCTGCAGTCAAGGCACTGCCATGTGCCAGCCTTCGCGGTAGGGCACGTTGCCGTGTCCGAAAATCGTCCACACCGAAAGGTCTTTCCTGGGCTACATTGGGCGCAGAAAACCTTGCGTCTGAGAGATGATGCAGACCGCCCCAAAGACATGCACTCCTGGCCACCACTTTGAAGCAACAGGTGCGCCCGAATAAGTAGAACGGGACTTCAGGGCTACTACAAGCTTGCTGTTGAAAATGCCGAACCGGAAGGCGTTGCGGGCATGTTATACCTCCTCAATACAACGTTTGTTGGCCTGTGCCCCTCCAGGCTCAGCCTCTCGGTCTCAAAGCGTCCCAAGGGCCAAGGCTACCAAGGGGCCCCCGAAGCTCTGCCGGCTCGATGCCTGCTAGGCGCTGGGATCGGCATGTGCTTAACTTAGGGTCTTAGGGTCCTACAACCTGCTTGAAAGTCTCCTGCTGTGCTCGAAACGTCTCGAAACCCTCACCCGGAGCTCAAAGGCTTTAGATTTAGACTCTTCAAAGCCCGAGCAAAAGCTCCTGCCTGCGATATGAAGTGGCCTGATGAAGATGCTCGCGTCACAGAGGAGTCGCAGACTCAAATCCTCCGCAAGGCTCGCAGAGACGAATATACATGCTGTCATGCAACTAGTGAAACTATTTATGTACAGATGTACATGATATACCGATAAATACATTTGAGCTGTGGTTTTTATTCGTGTTTAGCAAAATGGAATTAACGAAATCCTTCCGCACCGAAGCTTGGCGAGCGCATCTGGAGGGTATCGCTTTTTTTTGGGGGGGGACCTATCGCTTTTCCAACGAATGGAGCATTCTGATTGATTTTATCTCTGCAAAGTATAGCCTTTGCAGTTGCTCACATATCTTAAGACGGAGCTTCCGCGGGACCTTCCGCGGAGCGATTGCTTCCGCAAAGCTTCCGCGTGCTTCCGCGCACACAGTCGCGTGCAAAATTTTCCGGCGACAACGATTGATATTTCCGCGTTTAAGAAGCGTACAAAAAACCACGGCTCATGTGTATGATGTCAAGACCCGGCACGATGGCCGTCCGCTTCCCACCACAAAACTCCAATACATAGCTATCGTGGCAAGGTCAATGCTTCCCTGGCTACTCAGTTGGCGCCCTTCGCAGGTTATTGACATTATCGATATCATGCCTGCGTGCCCACGCTGCGGCAGGCAGAGTGGCGATTGTACATCTTATCGCCGGTCACGGAACCTGACAGACAGGAGGCACCAAAAACCTGCGCACTACAGCACTACTCAGGAATGCGAAAAACACCAACCCGTGGTCGCCTTGAACTCTTAGAAATGATGTCATGCAACATCTTGAACTTTTCTGTTTCCTCGCCTCCTGCATATCCGGAAAGCGAGCCATCCAGGTCGGAAAAAATCCCATACCTGGGCAGCGGATATGGCGAGAGGTTCGCCCTCGCACACCTATCGGCCAGGGCTTTAGGTCCACGGTCCACCTTGCCTGGACATTCGCCCCCAAGCACACCCAAGACCACTCAAGATCACAAACTGCACAACTCCGCCGCTTGCACTTTGAGATTCCCCGACGAGACACCCAGCTGCGCCCGCCGTGTAAACCTCGACCTCGGATCACACTGGAAAGCTCAGGATGTAGTCCGGACTGAGGCGTCTAGACGGCTCAAAGCAACGGCAAAAGGCATCATCTACCGACACACGGCTCAGGATTCCACGAGGCTCCGATAGAAGCGGAGCTTCTCCACACGGATCGTCACCGGATACTCGCCCCCATGCCTGATTCTAGGCACTGCAGGAATCCGGTGAATTTGGAGGAATCATGAGGAATCTGCAAGGGTTAGTCAACGGTTAGTCGTTCCTCCGTTTATCGGAGACAAAGAGCCAGCAAGTTGGAGGATGCACTTTGAAGTTCTTCAGAACCTAGCATCTGTATGCCCGTGTGTTACGCATTCACTTGACATGTGCTGGATGGTTTCACGACCACTCCAACATTCAGGTGTATTTCACGGGCAAAGCAAATGATTACAAATGTCAAGACACTTGCCACGACGTAAGTTTGAATTTGGATTGTCAGTTCTGACATCCTTGGCGACGGTCTCCGAACTATTGGTGGTGACGCTTGCTTGCAGCGACTGCACTTTACACAGCAATCCTGACCGTCGTCTCGTGGTAGTGGCTGTCAGTCTTCAAGGGCCCTGGCAAGCAAGGGCTGCTCCCGAAGAGGAAGAAGGTGATGTTGCGAAGATGTCGTCCTGATATGGTAGCAACACCCTTCGGAGCGACGCTGACCGGGACGAAACGATCTTCGCCCTAGGCGACCTCCATACGAGTACAAAACTACAGGATAGCAACATCGCTGGCTACCGGCCTGCACTGCCAGTTATGCCGAACTCGCCCTCAGCTCAGTCCTTCTCGTGCACTGAGTGTAATCTGCGGCTCCATGGCTACGCTGGCCCACTGCGGCAGGAAGCGAGTACCCACGGCAGTCACGTTCCTTGCAGAAGTTCATACTACACACGACTACCGGAAGGGATGGACTTTGTCAGGAGAGAGCGCTCTGAGACTCTCTCGCTCTCTCTCTCGCGCGGTGTTAGACTTTGCCGAGATTCTCAATCCATGGGTCATCAGTGACCACAGGTGCAGAGTCCTGTCAGGGGCGTCACACGAGTGCAGCACTCCATCTTGCAACTTCAGCTGACTTCAAGACCAAGGCATCAAAGTCCTGTTCCATGCGTGTCATGGCCACAAAGCGATCTGGCGCAATCAATCCCCAGCCTCATCGTAGACGCCAGCCGTCGTCTCCACCCACGCGGAGTTCACCAGACGGCAGCGGTCGCAGGCACGGACGTAATAGGCATACTGACTGGCAAAGACCGTGAAGTCGGTAAAGACCTGACGTATGCGAGATCGGCTGCTTGTTGCATTGCGACCCTGCGTAGGCAATTCTTTTCTTCCTATGATTCCCCACGTCGACATGAGTTCGGATTTGCTGAAAGTATTCAGGGTGGTGATGCGTTGTTTGCTGCAGCTCGCCTGGGCTTCAAGAAGCTGAGGACAAAGCCGTTTCTCCGAAGCCCTCAACCCGAGACATGCGACAAATCAAGCGCAACCTAGTAAGCATTTCCTGCCGTACACTACGACATAGTACACTTCTGTGACATCTAGCTCGCCGTTACCACGACCAAGTGGTTATGATTGGTGATGTGCCATAAGACTTGAACCTGGTGTAACACAGTATGAATTGCACAAGGCAACAATGTAAACAAGTAATGCCAACGAATCACCGACTTTCGTGCAGCATGACATATCAACAGCTCGCCTGAGAGTTGCCTTGACGCAGCTCTTGCGGGACTCGCAGGCCATATAAGCCTTAGTTTGCGCGATCCGGAATCTCGGTCGAACCTCTACCGCTGCAGTCGCTGCAGCCTGAGATTACTGCAAGGAAAAAGAGCCGTTCTCCATTAAAGCCCGGAGGCAGTCATGCGCGGCGTTTCCCTCGAAGGCCACCAACGACCACCGGGAAGATTGCCGGCCTAGGCAGACTAGAAGTCAAGGTTGGAGTCCTGGAGACTTTTATAGACTTGGGTTAAAGTTTAGGTCGAGAGCTTGAGCTTTGAAGGCCGAACCCTCATGCGGGTCGGTTTTTACTTGTCCGCCTTCGTCGCGATCCTAAGGGAGCACGTCTTAAACGAAACTAAGACTTCCTCGCTGGGCGCCCGGCCCACCAAATGTGGGCTTCGAGGGACGAGCTCCGAGTCCTCTCTGGGCTCGAAGCTGAAACATGCCTGGTGTCGAGGGCGCAAAGGGTGTGATGTTCAAGCTTCCCTAACCCCGCCTCTGCTTTTGTGGCGAAGTTGTGACGGTAGGCAGCAGTTCCGGTCATGATCTTGAAAGCCACGGTCTGTCGCAAGAAGGGCAGGCCCACGGCGGACCTCGGACAAAAGAGCTTCCTGCTGCCAAATCCGAAGTGCACCCTAAGGCGAAGGTGGTGATTCTTGTGCCGCTACCCAATACCTAAAGATAACAGCTGCCGTCGGATTGCCGTCGTGGTGAGACCACTTGGTTGTGATGCACCGTCAAGGACTCCGTGTTGTTGGCAGCCGCCGCACCCCTTCGGGGACCGACAAGTTAACGAAAGCATACTCAACCTAGCAATGGCTTCATCAGCACGGGAACAACACGGATGAGGAGGCGCATTGGGAGGGGGAGGAGGAGAATGAGGACGACGATGACGACGAAGATGGCGTCGTAGCACGAATGACACCAATCAATATAGCTTCACTTCCCAGTAGCGGAACTCGTCACTGTCAGTGTCGCGGTCGTACCTGTGTAGCCTATGTAGCAGCAGTAGCAATGTTTGGAGTCATCGCAGCCGTCATCGTCATCGTCGTCAAAACAGCAGTGCCGGGAGTAGGCGCGGCAGTAATGGTGGTAGGGGTGGTGGTAGTTTGATGGGGGGGTGGGGGCGGTAGTGGCAGCAGTGCGGCAGTGGGTGAAAAAGTTATGGCGATAGTGGTAGTGGAAGTCGTCGTCGCCCTCGTCCACTACTGCTACCGCTGCTGCTGCTGCCGCTCCTGCTCTCACTCCAACTACCACGACGACGAGGACAACGACGACGACTACTGCGACGCCCACTACGACGACGACGACGACGACGACTACTTTTACTCCAGCGCCAACCACGACGACGATGACGACGACGACTGCCACCACTGTGCATACGACTGCTCCTGCTACTGTTTCTGCTGCT